CTGGGGGCCGGGCCGAGAGAGGACCTCGGGGGGTGGAAAACAACCCGGTGGGCCCCATAGTCCCCGCGGTGTGCCGGGCCTTTGGGGGCGGCTGGGGGGGCCTCGGTACCCCCGGGGGGGTCATCGGGTACTGGGGGATCCCCGCGCCTTTGGGGGGGGGTTGTTCTGTCCCCATGGGATCCCTGCGCCTTTGGGGGGTCCCTGCTGCCCCCGGGGTGTCCCCGCGCCTTTCAGGGGGGTCTTTGCTGTCCCTGGGAGCTTGTGGGGAGTGTCCTTGCCACCCCCAGGACTGTCCCTGCTGCCCCCGGAGGAACGTTGTGCTTTGAGGGGGGTGTAGGGGTGGGCTCCCTCGCCCCCACGGCTGGTTCCTGTTGCCCGAGGAATCCCTGGGGAAGGGTCTTGGGGATCCTCTCTGCCCCCTTTTGTTCCCAGGGTGCCACCAGTGCCCTTTCAGTGAATACTGGAGGGACCTTTCTGTCTCCAGGCCTGTGCTTATCACCTCTGGTGCCACCATCTCCTTGGGGGGGACACTGAGGGGACCCCTGCCATTCCCAGGGCCATTCCCTGCCATCTCCAGGGGGTTTACCTGCCTCGGGGGGTTGCTGAGGGTCCTCTCCTGCCCCTGAGGCTCCTTCCCTGGTGCCCCCGTGGTTTCACGGTGCCTTTAGGGGAGCCCCGGTGGTCCCTTCCAGCCCTAGAGTATGTCCTATTGCCTTGGTCATGGGAGGGGAGCTCAGCTGAGGGTCCCTCCTGCCCCCTGAAGGTCCAAACCTCGTTGTCCTTTGGCCTTCCTCACCCAATCCCTTCCAGGACAAGTCCCCACTGTCCCCAGGGGGGTCTCTGGGGCAGACGTGGCCGGACCCCACACTGCTGGGCTTTAACCTGTCGTTTCCGTCAGCTGCCAGTGAACCTCCAGCCCCGGCACCGCCGCGCAGGTGAGTGGCCACCCTGGCCCTGGCCGCGCTTGCCTCCTGTCTGTCTGTCCATCCCACAAGCTGCAGAGCTGGAGGTTTGGGCTGCATCTCCCTCGGTCTTTTCTCGATGCTGAATTATTCCTGTTGGGGGCTGCTCACCCCCTCACTCCTGCGGGATTTCTCCTGCAGGCTGGGCTTTCCTCAGCCTCGGGACCACCGATTCCCCCTGGGGAGCCTCTCTCCCGCCGGGTGCTGGGCCGTGCTGCACGCTGAGGCAGCCAGTGCTTGTTAGCTGCAGTTAATTAGGCCCTGTCTGCACTGGGAGCAGGTTCGTGCCGTCCCACGAGGTGCTGGGGGAGCCAGGGCTTTGCCGTGGGATGGTGCGGAAGAGCCGTGGGGAGGTGGGTGCCTCGTCCCCCAGGGAGACGCCGTCGTGCCCAGGATGCTCTGAGATGGGGATTCCAGACCTCCCTGTAATTGCAAGTGGGAAGCTGCTTAATTAGTGTCGTCACTAGGACTGGCCAGGCTCCCAGGTAGATTTGTAATTAAGCAGGGCTCTCCCAGTTGTGGCCCAGTGGTGGGTTTCTGTCCCCGTCCGGCGAACAGGAGGTGCCCGTCTGGCCTCTTCCCCGTGAGGGGCATTTTGGGTGGAAACCTGCTTGTTGCGGGAGGTTTAATTGGGGGGTTTAACCCTCCCGACACCATTTTGGGGGGAAGGAAGGCTCCTCCACGGCGAACAAACGAGGTTGCCTCCCTCCAGGTCCGATGAGAAAACTTTCCTTAAATAGAAGAGGTTGAGCCGAGCCCGACAAAACATGTGCGGGAGGGACCCGCTGTAAACACGGGCACAAGGCCGTGCCGTGGCGTCCTCTGGGCATCCCGGGGCGTCGGGAACCCAGGTGAGGGGCTCTCAGGGGGTCCGAAACGCCCCCCGCTCGCTTCTGGCCCCCTTGCTCCTCTGCTTTATGTAGCCCGAATGCAGCCCGGGTGCCCAGCGCCCGTGTAGCCTGGCTATTCGGCTGTTTATATAGCTATGTAAATATTTTACATTTGAGGATCGTTCAGGGACAGTGCGGCTGCGGGTGCTGCGTTTCCAGCCGTAACGCGGCCGGGCTGGTGATGCCGAGTCCTGCGGGCGCTGCGGAGGGCACCGGGTGCCAGCGGGGACGGATGGTGGGTCTCGGGGGGCAGCGAGGGGACTGTGTCCCGTCGGCTCGTGGCGTTGGAGGTTGGGGTTGCGGCTCGGGATGGAAAGGATCGTCTCCTGGGCGCAGCCGTTGGAGTTGCCGATGGGTGCCGTGCCGGTGTGGGGGTTTGGAGCCTGGCACACGGTGGGCAATGCAGCGGTGTGAGCCCCAGCTCTCTGTGCCATGGGATGGTGAGCCCCGGGTGCTCGCTCGGAGGGTCGAGGCTGCTCCTGCCGCTGTGGGAGGAGGTGGTGGCCCTGCCGCAGCGCTCACAGCCCAAGCCTGGTGGCCGTGGCAGCAGCCAGGAGGCCATGGCATGCAGAGGGATATTTTTAGGGCCCTTGCGAGGGTGCTGGGGAGTCAGGCTCCAAGCATGTGAAGCTGGGAGCACTGATCCTCTCCAGATGTTGACTCCAGGGAGCCGTGAACCCACGTGTCGACTCCTGGGGACGCTCCATGCGGTGCCCTGGAACCGGGCTGGGTTCACTGGCCCTGGCCGTCTGCCTTGAGGCATCTCCTCCTTTGGCAGGGGGACCTGGCCTGGTGGCTCGGTGATGGGCTCAGATCTCCTGGTGAGGGCTCAGGGCTCTCTGCAGGGCTGATGGTGTCCCTGCTCCCTCTGGTCCGCACTGAACAGCGTCCCGTTGCCTCCCTCAGCCGGTGCTCCGTGGTTCGGGGTGATGGAAGCGATGCCTTTGGCACCGTCGGTGTTTCCAGCCACCATTAGCTCGATGGGAGGGTTCCCCCGTGTCCCCCCGCTGCCGGTTTGTCGCTGCCCGAGCCCCCGAGTGCCGATGGCACGCTGTGCCACGCTGTGGGGCTGCCAGTCCTTGCCACGTGAGCGGTTTGGGCGGCTGCGAGCGGAGTTGGTGGGTGTCTGGGGAGGCTGACGCAGAGCTGCGGGAGCCGAGCGCCCATTCCTCAGCACCGGGCACCAGCAGGGGCTGGCACCGTGCTCCCGGCCGCAGGAGATGTCTGGGGAGCCCGGGGTCCCCCAAAATGTCCCTGGTGCTGACAGAAGCCATGTCTGTCCCCGCTGTCCCCTTCGCTGAGGGCTTTTTTTCTCAATTCTCTTAATTTCTCTGTGAGGTGACGGTCCTCCGGCAACGTGGGTGGATGAGACATGAAGTCAGGCTAATTATTTGGTAATGGATTCCTTTCCCCTGAAAGCGTGCTGCTTGTTCCTCACCTTCCTGAAAAGGCTGCCGTGAAAGGGGTATTAATGACAGATCTGAATAGGTAATTTGGCAGAAGAAAATAACTGCTGGGGAGCAAAGTCCAAACCTGTTTCTTTTGTACCTGCCTAGACCTTCCTGGCCCCTTGATTAGTTGTGTGTGGAAGTGGGACGTGTGGAGTGACCTGTTGCTGGGCTTTCCCATCCCGGGCGGTGGGAGTGAAGCTGTAGCTGAGCTGGGTGGTGTTTGGAGCCTGTTCCTGACTCCCCCGGCGTGACGGGAGCAGGACGGCGTTGCCTCCAGATTCCAGCAGTAAATTACAACCAGTCCTGCCCCGGGGGGAGAGGGGTGCTGAGCTCTGGGGCTACTCTCATCCCCCGCTTCCCTTCTCTCTTCCCCCCCTCCGCAGCCTCGCTGGTTTTTACAGTGGTTCTGGCAGTGCTGGACGGGGAATGGTTAAACCTGAAGCTGCAGAAAACACTTTTATCTCTTTCTCCCTGTGCTGCTCCTCTCGATAGGAGCGGCTGGAGCTCGCTGCTGTTTGCAGTTGCATAAACTCAGTTTCCTTACAAACGCTCCTACGCTGCAAGGGCTTTTATCGCCCTTCTGCTGCCCAGGCCCTCCCAAGGCACCCTCTGCAGCCGTTGGCAGCTCCAGAAAGCCCTGTTTTCCTCCTAAATCACCCTTTTCTCAGAGGGCAGCCGTGCCCAGGCTTGGGCTGGCCCTGACAGACCCAGCCTGGGCAGAGCCTTTCGCCTTCTTTGGCTCTTTGGGGCTCTGCTGGTTGCTAATTCCCGACCTAACGAGGATTAGCCTCCAGAGCGTTTGCCGTAATCGGAGTTAATGATGTTCTGGCTTCAGCTTTTCCCCGTGTGTGAACCGGGAACTTTTAGCAGAGTCCCTAACCCTGGTTAAGAGCGAGCAGCTAAACAGAGTATAAAAAAACTCTGGCTAAAAATAGAAGGAAAGTAAAGAACGAGCAAAGCATAAATAAAATGTTAGGGTGTTGTTTTTTTTCCCCCCCCTCCCTCCACCTTGGCAAAACCTCTGCTGTTCGTGACTCTGACGTGTTTTCCTCCTGGTGTAACCCGGTGCCTGGTGCTCTCCCCAAAAGCCACCTGTGGCCACCGGGCAAGCGATGGGCACCGCTGTCCTGGGGGTGTTTGCAGCCCCCGGGGCTGGAGGCAGCTCTGCTCTGTGGCCCCCTGGGAGCCCCCCTGCAGCCGGAGGAGCCAGGGCCACTTTGGATGCCATCCTGCAGCCCGTGCCCCGCCTCCTGCCTCCCAGGCAAGGGCTGGGAAATGCCTGGGAGCCAAAAACATGCTCGGCTTCGGTTTCCCTGTGCTCACGAGGGATTGGTGAACCCCTCCTGTGGAGCAACTGGGAATGCCAGGGAGCTCCTGGCCTCCTCGCCTGGCTCTGCCCTGGTGGAGCTGAGTTTTGGGGATGCCAAAGGCCAAAGCTTGCTCTTGGGGGGGAGCGAGAGGGCTGGCCTGGTGTCCAGAGCTGCTCTCCTGTCTGTGGCGTGGAGAATGGCCCCGTGGCGATGCCGGGAGGGTTTTGTGCGTGGGAAGGTGTTTAAAATCTGCCTCTGGGGTTAAAAAAAACCCTCTTGAGTGTCTTTTAACTGGCAGCCTCGGGGCTGCCGGTGCCAAGAGGTTTCTCAGTTTCTCCTCCCCAGCCACCTTTCCTTGTCCTGCCCCCCTGCCAGCCCCTTCTCCTGCCGTCCCAGCCCCGCTCCTGCCCCTTCTCCTGCCCCTGTGCCGGGCTGGGGATCACCCCTCTCAGTGTGAGAGGTGACACGGGGACTGGGGACTGGGCAGGACGGGCAGTGTGACAGCCACAGATCGGCTTCCTCGTTAAGTTGATGGCATCTGAGCAAATTAGAGATGGAGAAGAGTTCAGGATGGCGGGGATCAGCTGTCACCCGGCCATGGGTGCCATGGAGGAGGCCGAGGGACGTTGCTGTTCCCTCTGCTGATGAGCTTTTGTTGCTGTGCACACTCGAGTGTGTCCCCTGTAGCCACATGGGCACCGCACCCCCCTCTGGCTCTTTCCCTTGGAAAATGGTGCTCTCTGGACCTGCCTGTGACGCTGCAGGTGCCTGTGTGGCTCCACCAACCCAGGGATGGGCCACCACGTCCCCGTCTGGGCAAACTGGCCATGGCGGGGAGGCTCCAGCCCCTGTTCTCTCCCTCTCTCCCATGCAGGGTGAGCGCTCTGGAAGACGCCATGTCGGATAAAGGGAGCAGCATGGAGGGGAAGACGGACATCGTGAACGGTAAGGGTGCCAGCAGGGACCCCTCTCCCTGGGCTGGGGGTCTCCCCTCCTGCTGGGGAGGCTGATGGCATCATCTGCGCCACGCAGGCAGCTTGTCCAGCAGCCCGGAGGAGATGTCAGCCGAGGAAGGACGAGAAACCTCCTCCGGCATCGAGGTGGAGGCCTCCGACCTCAGCCTGAGCCTCACGGGGGACGACGTGGGGCCCAACCGCACCAGCACGGAGAGCCGGGACACGGACACGGAGAGCTCGGGGGAAGAGAAGGACTCTGACAGTATGGACGACACGGGCCACTACTCCATAAACGAGGAGAACCGGGCCCTCGACCGGTCGCACTCGGAGGAGGAAGAAGAGGAGGAGGAAGAGGAAGAGGAGGAGGAGCAGCGGTCCCACCGCCGCGCCCAGCGCAAACGTGCCAACCACGACCAAGACTCCTTGGACAACGAGCAGGCCCTGGAGGACTGGGTGTCCTCGGAGACCACGGCGCTGCCCCAGCCCCGCTGGCAGGCGGTCCATGCCCTGCGGGAGCGGGAGCTGGGCTCCAGCGCCCGCTTTGTCTACGAGGCCTGCGGGGCCAGGGTCTTCGTGCAGCGCTTCCGCCTGCAGCACGGCCTGGAGGGACACACGGGCTGCGTCAACACCCTGCACTTTAACCAGCGCGGCACCTGGCTGGCCAGCGGCAGCGACGACCTCAGAGTGGTGGTGTGGGACTGGGTGAGGAGGCAGCCGGTGCTGGAGTTCGAGAGCGGGCACAAGAGCAACGTCTTCCAGGTGAGGAGGGGGCGGGAAGGGTCCCGGGAGGGCTGGATGTGAGAGATTTCCCTCCCCTCGGTGGGCAGGGACGTGCTCTGGAAGCACCTCATTTCCTCTGGACGATGCTGTGCAGGGAAGGAGGGATGTGTCGTAGAATCGTAGAATTGCCCGGGTTGGGAGGGACCTTTCAGGTCTTCGAGTCCAACCGTCAACCCAATGCTGACCCATGTCCCTCAGCACCGCCTCTGCCTGGCTTTTAAACCCCTCCAGGGATGGTGACACTTCCCTGGGCAGCCTCTTCTGAGGTGTGACAACCCTTTCAGTGTAAAAAATTTTCCCTGATATCCATCCTAAACCTTCCCTGGCGCAACTTGAGGCCGTTTCCTCTTGTCCTGTCGCCTGTTCCTTGGGAGAAGAGACCGACCCCCACCTTTTAACCATGTCGTTAGAGCTAAGGGCAGCGGGGGGAGTCCAGCCCTGGCTGGGGCTGGCGGGGTGAGGTGTCCCCACAGAGGTTCCCCAAACTGAGCTGTGGCCATCGCTGCAGCTCCGGCCCCGGTGAGCAGCGGGTCTGGGAGCTGCCGTGGGCAGGAGCCGTGTCTGGAGGAGCCCGTGCCGTGGTGGGCAGCAGCTCTGTCAGTGCCAGAGGGGCCTGGAGGGCCAGGATCTGCTGCCACCGCGGCACAGATCACACTTGGAGGGTCCACCAGCATCTCCTGGGTCCCGGCTCTCTGTGCTCACGAGGATGATGGTTCAGAGAGCTCAGCCCTTTGAGCCCAGGATTTACAGTCACCACCCACAGATCCAGGGCTCCTTGGGCTCTGCCGGGGGTGCTGCCCCCCATTTCTCTCCTGTTTCACCTCGTTTCCTTCCGTGCTGCCCTGGGGCTGAAAGCCATCCCTCTGCTCACTCTCTTGCAGGCCAAGTTCCTCCCCAACAGCGGCGACTCCACGCTGGCCATGTGTGCCCGGGACGGGCAGGTCCGGGTGGCCGAGCTCTCTGCCACCCAGTGCTGCAAGAACACCAAGCGTGTGGCACAGCACAAAGGAGCCTCGCACAAGGTGAGCCCCGGCCGGCCTGCTGGACCCCCCAAAACACCAGAAATGGTGAAGGCAGGGCCGTTGCCATGGAGAGACCTGTTCTTAGACGCTTCTTTACATCGCTGTCACCTCTGAGGGCGAGGAGGAGGGTCAGGGCACTTGGCCCTGGGTATGGAGGGCTCGGTGCTGCGCTGCCTCCTGTTTGTAGCCGATGATTTTCGGGGAGAAAGGGATCTTGCCACTTTGTTGGGTGAAAAGGGAACCAATGCCCGAGTATTTATCTTCCAGCTGGCCCTAGAACCGGATTCTCCATGCACTTTCCTATCGGCAGGTGAAGATGCTGTAGTCTTCACCATCGACCTGAGACAAGACCGACCCGCCTCGTGAGTATTTCTCTGCCCACTCCTGACTCTGGAGGGAGATCTGGGGTCCCAGAGGGCTCCCCTGCGTCAGGCTTCACTCGACTGCACAGGGATGGGGGTCCCGCTCGGGCCACTGCCTTTTCACAGCCTCTTCAATAGGGAAAAAGTGGGAAAAGAGATATTTTTTTGCTTTTGAGCTGTATTATCTTTCCTGAGGCATGTGGTCGGAGCAGAGCGCTTTTCGGGGCTGTCCATCTCACACAAGGATATGGATATGAATGTTGCTAATTAGACGAGTGTTTTTTTGAACCCTCTTCCTCCCCAGGAAGTGGATGTTGGGGTAGAAAACAGCAATAACAGCCCTTTGCCCGTCCCAGGGCAGGGCTTGGGGTCCTACGCTCCTCCTGCGCCGTGAAGTGGCTGATCTGGCAGCCGCCCGGCGCCCGCGGTGCGCCTGACGCGCTGGTCGCATGAGCGCGATTGCAGTTAATTGAAAAAACAATAATTAGCCAAGCAGCCGGGTGGTGCGTGCTGGATCCTCACCCGTATCGCCCGGCGGATCTGTCGTTTCTGACGAGCTTCCAAAATAAATCCGCGGCGGGTGTTGGAGCAGACGCCAGGGTTTGCTATCACGGTACTTTTCCGACGTAGCAGCGTATTATTTTGAAGATGATCCTGCTTAAAGCCCGGGGCTTCGGCGCTCGTCTCCCCGTGGCTGGGTTTTATTTGTGTGCGCGAGGGCTTTTGTCGACGAGCCTTGAACCCATCTGTTTCATAACCAGGGCAAAAACTGCCAGGGCATTTCCAAACAGACGCCTTTAATCCCCACATCCCCGTTTCCCCCCATCCCTTTTTTGGGTGGGTTTGGAGAGGAATCAGTCGGTCAGTGGGTCTGTCCCCCCTCCCTGTTTGGGTTTGGTGCTGGGGGGGGATTGTCACCTCGGGAGCGTGACACAGCTCCGGAGGCAGGGCTTGCAGGCAGACCGTAGGCAGCTCCCGTCCCTCATTAAGCCGAACGGTATAATTAGAAGAAAAGACGAGCTTTTTGAGCTGGCTGTTCCTTCTCGACGATGCTGCCTCAGTTTGTGTTCACGGCTGCAAAAGCCCGAAATATTGAGCTCCTGGGGGAGGGGGGATGGTGTGTGTGTGTGTGTCGGATTTCGTTAAATCTGGGTTTTATTACAGCGAGACGGGTGGGGAAAAATAACAGCAGAGCGTGTTCTGCTCGGGAGTTAATCCCATTCTGCCCCCACTGCTGTCTGTCCGGGCCCCGAGACCCCTCAGTTTTGGGGGGAAGGTGCCAGGGGATGATTTCACTCCGCGCCACAGACGGAACATGTGCTGGCTTCAGCTGGGAGGCTGAAAGAGCCGGGGTTTGGGCTTTTTTTTTTTGTGTTGTTGTTGGTGTTGTTTTTTTTTCTGGGAGTGAGTAAGAGACTCTCGCAGCTCCTGCTTTTCCCATCTGGACCCTGTTTTGAATTGGAGGTGGATTTTTTTTTTTTCTGTTGTTGTTGTTGTTATTATTTTTCCTTGTTTCTCAAAGGAAACTGGTGGTGACCAAGGAGAAGGAGAAGAAGGTGGGTCTGTACACCATCTATGTCAACCCAGCCAACACCTACCAGTTTGCTGTGGGAGGCAGAGATCAGTTTGTCAGGTGAGTCTGTGCCGGGGGCCCAGACTGAGCCCCCAAAACGACCTCAAATGTCCCCGTGGGGGCTGAAGGTCCCCCCTGAGCTCTGATGTCCCCCCCAGAAACGCCTGTGGCTTCAATCACTCGGTCCTCCACAGCCTGTTCTCCCGTAACAGCAGGAACACCGGGGGGATTAATGGAGGATTTGGATCCTTTGGGGTTTAGCTCTGGGATCCAGATCTCCAGGAGCTTGGAGATCCCTCCCTTGGGAGCTGGCGATGCCCTTAACAGGGTCCCCCCCCTCGGGCAGTGCCCAGGGGGTAGCAGAGGGGGGATTAAGGATTGGGAATGGCTCGGTTTCAGCAGGACTGAGCTCCTTGGGTGATAAACGCAGCCCCCCAGCCTTCAAAACACTGGGGGGCAGCCCCCGGTGTGGGCTGGGGCTGTGTCCGTGTGTCTGTCCCCTCGGCTCCCCGCACAGCCCCCCTGAAGCTGGGGGATTTTGGGGTGCAGCTCCTGTGGCCACCAAACCCGCCCAATTCCCGGCTCCTGAGGGAGCGGGGGGGGGATGCCGCAGCCCCCCGCCGGCACGGCTGGCACGGCGGTGGCTCCCGCAGCGCCAGCACCCGGTGTCTGGCATCTCCTGGGGTGCCAGGCGTGTGAGCACCGCACACGTGGGCTCGCAGACTGCTCACACTCAGTAGCCCTGGTGGCTCCCAGAGAGCCCAGATGGTCTCCCAAAGCGCAGCCTCCCCCCTTTCCCCATCTCCGCTGCTCTCAGGGTCCAGGCGCCTCCTCTCCCCCAGTCTCCCCAGCTCTGGGGGTCTCCTGGTGGGCTCCTGCATTGGGGAGGAGGTTGGGGACCCCCAGGAGCCAGGGGACAAGCGCGGTGGTGGCCACCCCCAGCCCTTTCCGAGCAGCCTTGGGGCTGACAGAGCCCCACGCGCGGGTGGTGGCCTGTGCACACACAGGCTCTGACGTTGTCACACGCCACCGACCTGATGAGAGGTGACATTAAGCTGCTTTGGCCAAGGCTTGGGCCGCTCCGGGGTGGGTTGTGGCTCCGGCGGTGGCACGGCGTGGTGGGGGACAACGCCAAACGCCCCCCTCTTCCTCCCCCAGGATTTACGACCAGCGGAAAATAGACGAGAACGAGAACAACGGGGTGCTGAAGAAGTTCTGCCCCCACCACTTGGTAAGTGGCTCCATGTGGGGGTCTCTCCTCTGCAGGGACATGGCGGGGGGACCGGTGGAGGACATCCCATGGTGGCCACTAGCTCTCGGCTTCTGGCGTGGGTGGGCAACAGCCCTGCAGCTCCGAGCACGGAGTGGGAAAACCTGGGGGGCAACTGCATCCGCCGTGGGGCAAGTGACAGGCAGCCACGTCCCCTGCCCATGCCAGCCTTGCCACGGGGCCACCACTCACCCCGTTCCCGTAGCCGGGCCGGTGCTGGGTGCAGGGAGAGCCGGGCCGGGCCCTGGACAGGACTCATAGCCCGGATCTGTGGAGTGTTCCCTCGGGAGCCCGGCCTGGGAGCGGCCGAGCAGCGAGAGCCGGCCAAGTCCTCGCAGGCTTCCTGCCTGGAAAACCGCTCCGGAGCCCCGGCAAACCGCCCGCGCTTTGGTGTTTTAATGATTTGACCCAAATCTTCCGCTGTCCGTGAAGCCCCGTTGTGGCGTGGGAGGAGGCAGGGATTTTTTTTTTGTGGTCGGAGTGTTAGGGCTCGTGCGGAGCCGTCACTGGTGTGGTGAGCTGCGTGCGGGCTCAGCGCGGCGGGCGGGGATGGAGGGGGCTCTCCGTGCTTCCCCCAGGTGAACAGCGAGTCCAAAGCCAACATCACCTGCCTCGTCTACAGCCACGACGGCTCGGGTGAGTCACTGGTGGCCCAAGGGGGTCAGTGGTGGGTGGTGGGGCTGCGGGGACACCCCCCCAGCAGGGGGACCACCCCCCCGTGCCCCCTAACGCCCATCTCCATCCCACCCCAGAGCTCTTGGCCAGCTACAACGACGAAGACATCTATCTCTTCAACTCCGCACACAGCGACGGCGCCGAGTACATCAAGAGATACAAGGGACACCGCAATAATGCCACTGGTGAGGACGCCCCCCGCTGCAGGGGGGTCGGGGGGGTCTCCCCAGCTCACCGTCGGGCTCCCACCGCCACCCCGTCCCCTTCCCCGCGTCCCAGCTTGCCCCGGCCTCCCCCTCCTTTCACCCACCCCCAGGCTTGGGGAGCTGGGGGGTGTCCCCAGAGCAACCTGGAAAGAATAATCGCCTGCTTTGAGCTGATTTCTGGCGTTTTCATCTCCCTCTCCCAGACCCCGAGCCCAAACCCCGGGGCTGGCAAAGAACGGGCCGTTCTGTGCCCGGGGACGGAAGGGATCCCCGCGGTCACCCGGGAAACAGGAGGGGAATGGGTGGCTCCTGACGGCCCCGGGGGGGGGCTGCTGCTTTCTCTCCTTTTGCAGTGAAAGGCGTCAATTTTTATGGCCCGAAAAGCGAGTTTGTGGTGAGCGGCAGCGACTGCGGCCACATCTTCCTGTGGGAGAAATCCTCCTGCCAGATCGTGCAGTTCATGGAGGGCGACAAGGGAGGGGTGGTGAGTCCCCGCGCCGTCCCCGGCCCCTGCCACCTGCAACTGCCACCACTTTTCATGGGGTTTTTTTCTGCCAAAACCCCGACAGGGAACCCGCGGGTGCCCCAGCGTGGGCTGCTCAGGGCCATTCCTCCCCAGGGGGGCTGGTGGGGGCCATGGTGCCTCCAGGGTCTTCTGGGGTGTGAAATCCCACGGGGATGTCACCGAAGGAGGGCTGGGACCTCAGAGTGGCTTCTGTCCGTGATGGGGACAGCCCCCTCCCCTTTCCCCTTCGGGGGGGGTCTGTGGGGAGACTGGGGCTCCCCGCTGGCCCTGCAGCTGCGTCCCCAGCCCTCACATCCAGGAAGGGGACGCAGCTGCACCGGGGACGGTCCCACATCCCATTTCCCAGGCTCTGCCCAACGGCAGTCGGGTCCCGTGGCCACTGCTGGGGGGGCAGGGGGGGTCCGTGGCCTGCTTTGGGCTCGGTCTCACGCACCCCCAAGGCCATCGGTGCCTGTCCCCAACGGGCACGGGGCTGGGGGGGGACGGGGAGCACTGGTGGCACCCCCAGCTCCTGGGACAGGGCAGGCTTTGGGTCATGGGGAGGGGGATGGTGGGTTTTGGGTCACAGGGAGGGGAGGGCAGGTTTTGGGGACACACACACACACACAGGTCCCTCGCTGGCATGGGGACGGGGGGGGCAGAGCCGGTCCCCGTTGTCCCTCTCCTCCCCCGGCCCCACAGTCGCCTTTTGTCTGGGTGGCCGTGGCTCCCTGCCAGCTCCTGGTGGCCACTGGCACCACCACCCCCGGCTGGCAGAGCCACTGTGGGGCTGGGCTGGCCCGGGGACCCCCCTGCAACAGCCAAAACCAGCCCAGGGACCCCCCCAAACAGCCGAATCTGGGCTTCAGCCCCCTGGGAGGTACGAGCCCCCTCTCCTTTTGCCTTGGGGCTCCCCACTTTCATTGCACCCCTGGGCTGTGGGTGCCCCGTGAATGACTTGGGGGGGCACCCCCAATTTTGGGCCTTGCCCCCCTCCCCCCATATTCCCACAGCTGGAGTGTGGGGACATCCCATGGGACACCCAACAAGGTCTCCCCATCTCCCTTAACCCTTTGAGACCCTGACCCGAGGCCAGGGTGATGGGCTGGGAGGGAGGGGACACCTTCTAGGTGCCAGAGTTGACACCCCCCC